CTCCTCAAGCGACTTATCAACCATTACAACAATATTTATCGAAGTGCCACCATACCCCAAATCTAGAAAACCAGTGCAATCATTCCTATTCTAAAACCGGGCAAACCGCCGTATATTTAGTTTTGTTAAATCCTTTCTCTCTAAACGTAAAATCAAAGTGCTTATTTCTGGCACATCTTCACCGACTCTTCCTTTGGATAACGGCACTCCTCAGGGATCACCGCTATCAGTTATTCTGTTCACCATAGTATTTGATGAAATCAGCTCTATCCTTTCTTCCTTCCCTAATATTCAGCATCAATTATATGCTAATGATCTCCTTCTATTTTCAAAATCTTCTGACCTCAGTTCTATATCCTCTACCTTTAAAGAAATCCTTTCTCAACGATTTCATTCAACAATGTAAATATTTCATGTTCTCCTACACTTAAGTTTCTTGGATTAATTCTAGATAGTAAATATGCATTCAAACAACATTGTCAATATGTTAGAAATAGAATTACTAAAAACTCAAATATTGTTAAGTACCTAGCATGCAAGCGCTCGCTCATTGGCCCATCTTTGCTATTTAATGTTGTCAAGGCACTCATACTCTCCGTCATCAATTACGCTCTTGAGATATATGGGCATCATTCAAAAAGTCACCTAAAATTGTTGGCTGCTCCGTATCACTCCGCTGTTAGAAGATCGCTTCGAGCATTCCCCACGTCACCAACCAAAAATATATTAGCAGAGTCCTGTCTCACCTCTCTGATAGACAATTTGGAAGACACCACATACAAATTATACCCGAAGATCATCCTTGGTTCTAACCTTGTGCTTCAGGATGCCTTTTCTTCATCATCATCACGTATCCGACCTCCAAAAATTGAGTCAGCTATATATAAATGCACCATTTTCGCCAAAGCAAATAGCTTCCCATTAAAACCAGCTAAACTCCCTAAACGTCGTCATCCACAATGGTTGATTCCAAAAAACACGTTTATTGATAAACTAGTTCGTTTGCCTAAATCCACCACACTTAATGCAATTTATGTATCACAATTTTGTGAAATTATGAATACTCTAAAACATGGCAGTTCGAGATTTATATTCACGGACGGTTCAAAAAAAAATCCAAACCTCTTTTGGTCGTTAGCGAGAAAGGAAAGCCAATTTCATATGGACTGCTTTTCCCCTTTTGTTCGATATTCATTTCTGAAGCCACTGCGATTTTCCATGCTGTTCTACATGTCACAAAAAGCCCGGGAAAATATGTAATTTGCACCGACAGCTTATCATGTTTCCAAGCCATTCAAAATTGCAACAACCACACTAACATCATCATTTCACTTAGCGAATATCTTATTATATATAAAAATAAAATTAAGATAATGTGGGTTCCAAGTCACACTGGGTTATCCGGAAATAACTACGCTGATGTATTAGCAAAGAATGCATCCAACACGCGCACAATTACATTCTGTTTCTTTATGAAAACTGATATATTCCGACTCATACACCAAAATAGGTTCTCTAAWTTGGCACTTGATTGGGTCTCATATAAACACCAATATTCAATAGTTAACACAGCCAGAATCATACCGCTATACCCATCAACAGTTGCAACTAATTTTATAACACCATACATTCGACTACGGATTGGACATACTATACTGACGAATGCTCACCTCCTCGGAAGAAACGGTACCAACTGCTGTCCGTTTTGTAAATCAACAACAATTGTGCTTCATATATTAGAATTTTGTCCAACACTGAAAGATAAGAGAGATTGCCACTTCAACACAGATCCGATTTCCCTCCTTTCCAACGCTTCGGAAGAAAATATAAAAACCATCTACCGTTTCCTTAAAGAATGTGATCTACTGAGGATAATTTAAGCCAACACATTTATTCAACGGACAGCTGATAGCCTCTGAAGCTAGCGCTGCATGCTTTAGGTTGTACATATGTATGTATGTTACTAACATTGTATAAGCTTTTATAAATAAAAAATAAAATAAAAAGAAAATCAGAGCATAACATAACATTGTCATCCATTAATCAATATACATATGTACATACATATGTATGACTTAAAATACAAATAGTGCCTCTTCTACAATTATTTTACCATATGCATTTTTTCATATTATTTATTACATTACGTGTAATTGATTGTGATCAAAATTGTATAGTTATATTATTAGGTTGTCAAAAAAGTCTTGCGGTATTTTTGATTGAATTTTCAACTACTTTGCCGGTCTCTTTCGACCAATTCAGCGATTTTATCGCAATTTTCGACTACAGGCCTTCCGGACCACATCTACACAAGAACAAAAACGTTGAAACCATCGTTGTGCGGTGGAAATGGAAACTGTATCGGGTCCATAAACTGCACAAATTTTATTGGCGGCTTGAGATCCATTTTTGCCTTTAAAGTAGTAGTACTGTAAAATATGCCATATTTTCTCTTTATTTTGCTCCATGTTTGCGACGCTATAACTCACGAACGACTTAAAAGAAATGACAATTAACAAAGTAGCACCTGGTAAATACCGCAAGATTTTTTTGACAAACTAATATTTTTAATTAAATATCGTGTTAAATAATATTTAAACTTAAAGAAAATGGAAGTCGTCGTTACTGTGTCAAAYAAAGGAAGTAATAAAATATTTTTGGATGGTTTTGATTACGATTTTCATTCCAAAAATGAAAAGAAGAAAAAGTTTCGCTGGTCGTGTCCCTAATGTGTAAAAGTGTTGTTGTGACAAAAGAAAATAGTAGCGATCATGTAATACAACGCGCTCCTACTGGCCATAATCATGATCCAAAGGCCCATCAAGTATCTGTGACATTTTCGAACAACAAAGTAAAGGATTTGAGTACATCATCTTCACTGGCGCCTTCCCGCCGGGTGTACTTACCATCGAAACGGGTTCAAAGAATGAAAATAAGCCGCCTTCGAAAGGGTACATATACCAACGAACCAGGAAATGTACAGGAAATTAATATACCGGAGCATTTGAAATACCTGGAGGGAGAATTATTTGTGTTGAGTGATTGGGATTTCGATGGTGAAAAGAACATTAGTATGGGCACAACGAGTTCCCTAAAGGAATTGGAGAGGTCACACTGATGGGTAATGGATGGGACGTTTTTTGTTGTACCGAAAATTTTTCACCAACTGTTCACCATACAAGGGCTAATTGATGGTCAATTTGTGATTCTAGTTTTTTGCGTGATGAGCAAAAAATCCAAGCAGGCGTTCACTGAATTTTTTCATCGACTATTTAATTTGGCTTTAGCACAGAATATAATCTTAATCCGCAAAGAATTATTACTGATTTTAAGCGAACCGTCTCGTCTGCGGGAAAAGAGTATTTTCCTGATGCCCGTTATAAAGGGCATTCACTTTGGCCAGATCATTTGGAGACGAGTTCAGAAAGAAAGGTTTCTCAAAAATATGGCAATGATGAAAGTTTCAGCATAGCTGTTCGTATGCCGAAAAGTTTAGCATTTGTTCCCCCACACATTCTGGGGGTTATTTCAGTGAACTGAAGAGTAGCTCGACAGACAGATATTTTAAAAAATTGTGTGCTTGGTTTAAAAACCAGTACATTAGTGAAAATATGAAGGCGGGTGCTATGATATATAATCCAAATTTTTGGTGCGTTTCGGATTCTTTTAAGGATAATTTTCCACGCACTCAAAATTCAATCGAAGCTTGGCACCGTAGGCTTAAAGTAATTGTAGGGAGAAAAAAATGTGGTGTATATGAAATCATAAAACATTTAAAAAAAGAAATGATTGATGTTAAATCAACCATAGAAATAATACACTCAGGGATCGGTGTGCGAAAAAACGAAAAGAATGTCGAGCGTGTAAAGAAAATTAAAAAAGTTGTTAAACGTCGTTTAGATTTAGATAAACTTATTTATTTAAAACCGATAGCACACAGTATTTCATTATGTAATTAGAATTTGCATACATGGTATTTATGTAAATGTTTTGAATTGTTTTATTGCTTTTTTGTTTATTTACATCACTAAAGATTGTTCTACATATGTATGTATATAAATAAATGTTTATGCTAATGATAATAAAAAATTGTGAAGTTTGTATTTATTTATGTTGTACAAATATGTTAAACTGATTGATATAACATGTATTGCATTTTCTTTAATTTACCTATTAAATATTCGTGAAACCATTAAACATAAAATATCTCGTGAACTTCAACTTTACATATAATATTGAGTATAGAATTCCCTTTTTCTGTGTGAAATAAACTTATTTATTTATTCTAAATCGCAGCGATTTTAAACCTAATTTCAATGTATTTCACACAGAAAAAGGGGATTTTGATTTTGGGGATTATGTGGTACACCCATTTTACAAAAGTAGTAATATGGCATTATTATAAAATGTGTTGACTTGAAGTCACGAAAATTTAAAAAAAAAAAATTCCAAAATTATAGTTGTTTGTGTTGACCCTGTTAGAAAAAAAGGTACTTGCCTTGACTACTATAAGTCCTTGGAGATTCCTCTGAAATCAATCGGACAAAAAAAATTAATCTTAAGTCTTAAAAATCGAAATTTTTCAAAAAAAAGCCTTCGATCAGGCCCGAGTTTATTATATTCTAAAAGCTGTATAAATTTCATTAAAATCTTCTGAGCGATTCTCGAGTTACAGTTGTCACCAGTTCAAAAAACATATTTTTGAGAAAAACGCGCTTAAAGTTTCACACTAACGCTTTGAAGTACCTAATCGTGAAATTTTCAGAGAATATTTTTAAGATATTACACTTAACGAAAATGCGAAATTTTTTTTGAAAATTCTGACTAGACCCCTTAAGTTTCATGGGGTTCAATTGGATTATGGCTTAGAACATAATAGTGTTAAATTAAATTAATGTAAATTCGAAAAGTATTTAAGCTACACATGTATGTCGTTATTTATAGAGAGCGATGAATTGCTCAAAATTATTATATTGATTAATCAAAAGAAAACTACTTACCATAGGCGGATATGAAAGATATCTGTCACTATTCATATTATAATATGAACCATCAGGTGGCGGCGCTGGCGAAGGGGACGGAATGTAGACGCCTTTGTTAATAAGGATTTGATCATCGTGTGCTCGGTGATCTAATATATTTGTGACATTACTGTGGTGCCGAGGATGTGGTAATGTTCGAGCATTGACTGTAAGTTGAAAATTTAAATATTAATTTTTTAAAAGGTCCTAAGTTCAAATACTAGAAGTAGTAAGTTTCAAAATCGAAATAAAATAGCGGACTTACCTATGTTACTTGGATAGACTATCGGCATAGTACCATCTTTCTGATAACGAGGAGGTGGCATATCGCTGCTTTCTACCAAATATGTCGAAGCTGCCTTTTTTCGTGCCTCATCCTTAAAAAAAATATATATGTTGTAATCAGTGGTGCATTAATTTTTTTTTTTTTTTTTTTTTTTTTTTTTTTTTAAAAGAGGTTGGGGTGGGTAACGGATAGTTAACATTTACTTGAAACATGAAGATTATTATATTAAATATATCTTTATACAGTTAAAAATCATGGTGGAAAGATTTCCAAATCGACCTTCTAATCCTACAAAATTGAAAAAAAAAAGAACAAAAATCGTAGACGTAAGGTTACATACTTTATTGACTTTATTGTAATGTACAATACTGCACTCAGTTCGTGTATTGAACAGAAAATTTTCACAAAACAAATCGATGTGGGCCAAGTTTTGAGAATCCTTTGATAACTTCTTATTCAGTGGCTTCAATGTCATGATGCGTGTGCAGCAACGCCAGGCCGATCAATCTATCTTGAAGTATGTTCGTCCTCAGCCACGTTTTCATGCGGCGAAGTGTCGAAAAAGAGCATTCAGAGCCGCAATCGCAGGAAACCTATGAATTATGGAGTATAGGTCTACAGCGCAGTTTTCAATGCAGTGGTCGGTAACTTGTTGACTTTTGCTTCTGCCCCCAATGACACTGCCAGTGATCAAGTTTATCTTTGAGCATCAAATGTCTCACGACGTTGTCATTATCCAAAGACCTTTGAATCCATATATCAATCAGTCAATAACATTTGCCATTTCTTTGGTTTTCAAAGCACATACTTTTTCTGGAATTAGCAAACTTAGTTCAAATCCATCCCATACTTCTCTAAAAAAGCGCTTCTTCAAATCTTCGCGGATTGTATCCAAAAGAGCAATGTACTCTGAGACTGTAATATTATTGGCAAATTCTAACGCAAAAATTTTCGCGTTTTGTTTGTCGGCCGCAGGTTTTTAGTTTTTCTCCGTTAACTTTCATTTCCCCATTTCCTCCCACTGAATCCGCCACTTCAAGTAGTATACGCAATTCAAGTAGTATAGTTTTGGGTTTTATTTTGGAGAGTAAAATGTTATTTTATTTTTCGTATTAATTAAGCATTTCTTACTATGAAATACATATTAAGGCGCATATAATTTTTGCATCCTGTTTAGAAACACTAACTACAAAAAGTCACTACTCGAAAAATGACAAATTTTCAGGGGGACAGTTTCAGTAAATAAAAATAAAATCACAATTATTTCATTAAAAGTGGCAGAATTAAAATAATACAGATTATCACTCTTTTTCAGAAAAATTAAGATTTATTAATGCAATAGCAACACAACTACAAATAGTACTCTTTAGTTGGTATTGCACGAGCGAGGTAAATAACACAAAAGTGGAGTGAAGACAATGACATTTCTGGGGTATTACGAATCGGAATTTCAGAAAAATTTAACATTTTGATAACGAAACATATTTACTTTTCGAATTCACTTCAGTGACTTTTGTTAAAATTTTTTGTATCAGTCAAGAAATACTTGTATGTTTTGTCAATATTTTTAATAATTTACACTTACTGTATATTCAATCTGACTGCCATCATTTGAGTATGATTCACTCTTTTCGGAAACACTTGATAATGTTTCACCGGTAACTGTATCGTTGTAGGAACTTGGAGCATACATTTCGATTGTTGCTGTTTTGCCTGGCTGGTTATCATTCTCAGCTGTTTGTATAAAAATAATGACAGTTTGAATACAAAAATTGGTAAATACAGAATTGTTGAAAAATCCCTTTATCTGAGATAGTTCACAAAATTAGGTTAGGATGAGTTATACATATGTATTAATTATACAAAATGTAAACTATTTTTTTTTATTCTTATTAGATAATGGGGTTTTAACTCTTGCATGCCTTCATTATACTCTCGCAACAGTCGTTAATGTAGTTTGTTCACCTAATACTTGTTGAGTTGAATTCCAAGTGTCTGTCGGTTGATTGATGGAGTCTGAGGCGTATTATTGGCATTCAGAAAGAATAAATTTCAGACAATAGTGCGTCTTTAAGTCAAAACAGGGTAAATCAATACTTAAATTAACTTCTGGTTGACTTAATACCAATATACCAGTCAACGTCTGAGATATCTTAAGGAAATCAAAAGAGCGTCTCACTATTAAATTTTTTTTTTTGTACCTAAAATGAATAAAATTGGGTGAATACTACTCTTAGCCCACATACATATACATATATATCTCATATACGAATTTCAAACCTCGTATTAAATTAATATCGTATACCATATATCGGCCAAGACGTATATGTAAGATGTGCTTTAAGAAAAAAATCATCACTAAAAATTAAGTGAACGCATTATATTGAATATGCGTACATATAATATATGTGAAATTAGTCTATGAATAGCAGACTTTATGTTGAATATGCCGGTTACCGTATGAGTTATCTTTATAAAATTGCTGGAAACTTGTTCTTCATTTTGACCCTTCACCTGATTTTATACCGTTTATACGCATGGCTTCTTCGGATAGTACATGATGAATTATAACTCGACATTTTTTAAAACAAAATTTTGTAACATCTATATGTTGCCCGCTTTTGACATTTGCAAATTGCGAGAGTATAAATTGTTCGGTTGCACCCGAACTTAGCCCTTCTTTACTTATTTAAAACATGTTGTGATCGATTTGCGATTAAATCAAATATATGTATTTTAATTATAAATCGGTAGCTTCAAAAATATTTCTGGAACATCTATCACGTAATGCATCAAGTAATGCACTCAATTTGTATTTTTATATGGTCTACCACAAACTCAAGTTTTTAGTTGTACTATATTTCTTACAGACTAATTGATCTTCGAAAGAGCGCTAGTAACTTCTTGTTTAAAATTGTTCTTAATAATTAAAAATATATCAAATAAAAACAAAAATACATAAACAGATAAACGAACCTTTCTTGCGTCGATTGTGAACAAAGAACCAAGCGACTAAAGCAGCATTGACTATCAAAAATCCAAACGCTGACATTGATATTCCCAATATAACAAGGCTGGGAGTACTTGAATCTTCAGTTAATTCTTCAGTTGATATTTCCAATCCTTCTTAAATCGCATAAAAATTAATGCCAAAAACAACGAAGTAAACAAATAAAGGAGTAAACGCGGTTACGAATACATAAAAAGAAAACAATTATAATAAAAAAGAATTACAAGATAGTAAAAATTAAGAAATTTGGAAATTAAATAGTTAACTACGAGTATCTCAGGCTCCAATGGAATCGAAATAAATATAATAACAAATTAAAAAAATTATAAGATAAGTGTTTCCTAATCAAGTCTCTCTAAAATTGAATGTTTGGTAACTTGACTAATCACATTTACTTAATATATGTATGTATATTTAACTTCCTAAATAATTGGGAATTTGAGAGTTTGAGAGTAAAATGTGGGACACTTTACAATTAAAAATTGCTCGAATTTGTGGAAAAGCCTATTACATAACATTTCATATCTATGAAAACTGATGTACTTGCACAAGTTTTCTGGTACTGTGTAAATTTATTTACAATAAAAACAAACGTTCCACGAATCGCTACTAAAGACATGGTGGTTTAAGGCATGGTATTTTATTTAACTGCATTTATACATAATTCACCGTTTCTATTTGGACGATACCCCGACGGTATTTAAAATAAAAGTAAATATTCCATCAGTGATAAAATACCTCGCTTAAGTCGTTTTTGGTTTCGTTTGTGCAGGCAACATCCGATAATGAAAACATTTAATAAAACTACCGTGACACCTGAAACGACGCCTACTAAAAGAAGTAAACCAGAAGTTCCTCCCAATGGTGTTGAGGTAGTCGTCGGTGGACCTCCTAACGATGAGGCTGGTTGCGAAGGTGGTGGAGCTTCTATTTGAATATTTTTCGTTTCAAGTGATCACATTTTTATAGGTATTGTTGTGATTGTAGGAGAAATCCAAAGGCAGCATTAACATTTTTAAAATGATTAATAAGGGAAATATTTTAAAAGGTCGTTTACATATTTCCTTCGCTAAATTTTTTAATACCTTAATTATACTTTAACTTTTATCAAAAAATAAAATAACAAATAAGTTTGTTTAAGAACAGATCTATGTAATTGAAATTTACATTTATTCAATATATTGATCATAATCACAGAATTTAAATGCTTATAGGTATCTTACCTTTGGTTTGTGCACGTTGTAAATCGGGTAAATATTTACTGTTTCCCAAATCATTGAATGCCATCACCGAAAATAAGTACAGTGTGTTGGTTTTTAACCCACTGATGGTCAACTTGTGGCTATTTGGTAAGCTGTCGATATATTTGTATTGTTCTCGGTTCGCCTCTCTGAATAAGGCAGAATGCAAATAAATAACAAGAATTATCATTACTTATCGAAGCATGTTACATTAAATAAAAAAGTAAAAGTCTTGAGAAAATAAAAATAAAAATAATTGAGTATATAAAGAGTTATTCCCACTTTTATTATAAGTATTATATATTATGAATTGTTATCGGCTACTTATCACAGATGATCTCTATTATCCGTACGGTATATATTTATTATTATTTCAATTGAATAATTTTTCCAAAATTGATCTCCAAGAAGCCGTGTTCTTTAGGTACTTTCTGAATTATTCAAATAATATTTTTTTTGTTATCAAAATTTTTGATAAATAAGTTTTATTGGAATCATAATAAAAATAGGAAGTGCAAAATTTGCCAAAATTAATCAGTTTGAGAAACCGGAGCATTTAACGCACATGAATCTAATAATTGCACGACTAACGTGCTGACTATGTGAAATATATTAGGCATAACCATTTTAAATTTCGATGAAAGTCATTGCTTCCCCCTTGTTTCACCAAATGTGAGAAATGTTGTAAAAGATTTTAAACAGTGCTTCTTAAAAATTTCAACTAATACCGACCGACACCTAATCACAAGATTTGCCCTGTTGAAAAGATCATCTCACTAATCTACTGGATTTTGCAACCTTTCGCCATACAATAATGATACTTTTTAACCACCGACGGGATGTGAAACTAATCTACCCGAAATCTCGCCACTCTGTTTGTCAGAAGGGAGTTTTATTGTTCTCTTTTAATTAATATTAAAAGATGAGATGAGTCATCGAGTCACAACAGGTGTTGTATAGGACAGCCTAGGTAGATTAGTGGATAAATTAAATGTAATATAAACATTTGTCGGCACAAAATGGCTTCAATTAAACTCAAGTACTCAGCGCAGATAGACATAATAGTAATTCAGGAGCCTTACACAATTATATGTATGAATTATTATGGATGGAAGAAAAGGTCGTTAATAACAATATTAAATTCTAAAATTGTGCTTATAACTTTAAATAAATTTCGCATGGTCAACAAGGGATACGTTAAAGGGAATTATGTAGTTCCTCTATTTTTAAAGAAATCAGCTGCGTATGCGAAAAAATATTAAAACACGCAGACAGTGTATGTATACCTATCATTAATGTTGTGGCTGGTTATTTACACAAATAAAACTAATATGGTATAAACTTAATTTAGTTGTAACACTAAAAGCAGGTATTTAAATAGGTATAAAATAGGTTCCAATTATTGGAAGCAAAATATGTATGATTTAGAATGAATATAATCTTTTTAGTGTGTTTTATCCTATTTCTTACTCTGGTATTTTCTGAATACTATCATTTATACTATTGAATTAACTTGTGGTTATGGCGGCAATTACTGATTGCTTTATTTGCAGCTTCGCTTGAAGAGGGTTTTGTATTGTAGCTCTGTACCTGTATCGAACTCTGTAGGAAGCTTTCAATCCTCCGTCAAATCCCGGTGTCCATGCTAAAGAAACGCTATCATGTGTAATATTCAATATGTTCAAACTAAGTGGCATATCTGGCTGGGAGGTGATATCCAATCGAATTAATTCCGTAGTTTGGCCTAGTTCATTCGTTGCGACACATTCATAAACTCCGTAATCAGCTGGAGCGACTTTTTCAATTATCAACGTAGATTCATAGGTTAGTGAATCGATTTTCTTTTCATCAACTTCATACTTATATGTATGATTCATTTGCAAATCCTTTCCTTCCTGACGCCAGGTGAATTTTGGTTTTGGAGCAGCTTGGGCTCGACAAGGCAAACGTCCACGTTCTCCAGTTCCACTTGCTGCACGTAATAATGTTGGCGATTTATCGATTTCGGGTGGAACTGCAATCACATCATTGGGCACAACAATAGAATGAAAGTATGTTTGGAATTTAAAATGGAGACTACTACAGGACACTTACATTTGACAATTAGAAGAACATCGCGATTTGTGGGATTAGCAACACGATTGTCTGCAATACAGCGAAAGTTACCAACATCCTCCCGCCGTGAGTCTTTTATGTGAAGATATGAAGTATTATTCACAAACGAAGTCGTAGTTTTCACTGTCATATCATAAGCAACTCTCTCCCATTTAATGTGCTCCTCGGTTAATGGTTTCCCTTCTACTGTACATGATAGCATCGCATCTTCGCCAGGATTTACTACAACATTTTCTGATATAGCTGTAATGGTAGTACCATCTGAAATCCAAATCAAAAGTTATAGTTCTTTACATTTCCTTTTGTACAAAATTAAAAGTTAAACATTCAGTTTTTCACTAGCATGTTTTGCATATATAAATAATATAATGTAATAAAAAACAAGAACGAAAACTTCGGCTGCACCGAAGCTGGGTATATTAGCTTCAACATTTCCTTTAGTAACTATGTGCTAAGTTTATACGGAAGCAATATGCTATAGTAATCCGATCTGAGCAATTTTTTCAGAGTAATCCATGTCAAATTCGTGAAGATACCACGTCAAATGCAAAAGTTTTCCATACAAGCCCTTTATTCCGATCGTTCGGTTTATATGGCAGCTATATGATATAGTAGTCCGATTTCGACAGTTCCGACAAATGAGCAGATTCTTGAAGAGAAATTGCGTTTGCAAAATTTCAAAACGATATATTAAAAACTAAGGGACTAGTTCGTATATTTACAAACAGACGGACATGGCTAAATCTACTCAGCTCAACATACTGATCATTTATATATATACTTTATAGGATCTCCGACGCTTCCTTCTGGGTATTACAAACTTCGTGACAAACTGAATATATCCTGTTCAGGGTATAAATATTTATATATACGGATATATACTAGGGCGCTTAATTTTTTTTTTTTTTTAATTTTCTTTCAGCTATAATGCAATAATGTTAATGTAACATTAGATTTGAATATACAAATACAGATTTTAAAACTTTCGTTCAGGTATTGCAAAACTCTATATTAAACAAATAAAGGAACAAGGAAGGGCTAAGTTCGAGCATAACCGCAAAGAGGATATCTTGCAATTTGCAGGGATTAAAGGCGGGACTTGTCAAAACTTGAAATTAAAACAAGTAAGGAAGGGCTAAGTTCGGGTGTCACCGAACATTTTATACTCTCGCATGATAAAGTGATAATCGAGATTTCATTATCCGTCATTTACATATTTTTTTATTTTGCTGTAAATTAATTAGATTAGATCAATTTGTGTACTTTGAGCATTGAATTGTATTTTCATTTATTTTAATTGCATTGAAAAGTTATAGTCCGATCACGACAATTTTTCCACAAGGGATACCTCAGCTCAAATACCGTACTTGTGTAATGTTTTATTCCGCTATCATCATTGGTTCCTAATGTATATATTATACAGAGAAGGCATCAGATGGAATTCAAAATAGCGTTATATTGGAAGAAGGCGTGGTTGTGAACCGATTTCACCCATATTTCGTACATGTCATCAGGGTGTTAGGAAAATATTACATACCGAATTTTATTGAAATCGGTCGAGTAGTTCCTGAGATATGGTTTTTGGTTCATAAGTGGGCGTCGCCACGCCCATTTTCAATTTTTAAAAAAAGCAGCTTCCTTCTGCCATTTCTTCCGTAAAATTTAGTGTTTTTTGACGTTTTTCGTTAGTCGGTTAACACACTTTTAGTGATTTTCAACATAACCTTTGTATGGGAGGTGGGCGTGGTTATTATCCGATTTCTTCCATTTTTGAGCTGTATATGAAAATGCCTGAAGAAAACGACTCTATAGAGTTTGGTTGACATAGCTGTTGCAGTTTCCGAGATATCTACAAAAAACTCAGTAGGGGGCGGGGACACGCCCACTTTTCCAAAAGATGACGGCCAATTATGCCCCTCCCTAATTCGATCCTTTTTGCCAAATTTCACTTTAATATCTTTATATATGGCTTAGTTATGACACTTTATAGGTTTTCGGTTTYCGCCATTTTGTGGGCGTGGCAGTGGGCTGATTTTGCCCACCTTCGAACTTAACCTTCTTATGGAGGCAAGAAATACGAGTACCAAGTTTCATCATGATATCTCAATTTTTACTCAAGTTACAGCTTGCACGGACGGACGGACGGACGGACAGACAGACATCCGGATTTCAACTCTACTCGTCACCCTGATCATTTTGGTATATATAACGCTATATCTGACTCTTTTAGTTTTAGGACTTACAAACAACCGTTATGTGAACAAAACTATAATACTCTCTTTAGCAACATTGTTGCGAGAGTATAAAAATATTGCGATAGAATTCGAAATTCATTATTTGATGTAGTCGAGAATGAATTACAATCAAATTTCGCATTTTATTAACTTATGTTATAGGATGTTATTAAATCATCTTTAAATGAAATATATGTGATATAAACTCAATCCAGCAAAACGTCAACCAGAAGATTTTATTTGATGATATTAGGGGTATGAGACTAAGACCAATCTAGATCAACTCCATTCACGCTCATATATTTTAGGCGTGTTTCATTTGATCGCTATTAACTAATAGCTAAGTCCATGACAAATAAAACAAACTTAGATTATTTCATATTTTCGTGAACTGTGTTGGCAATGCGGACACGGACAGTCAGCTGACATTGTATTTATTTAAAAATGTCTGACTTGGAGAAAAGTTTAATTTGAATTTTTAAATATGTATATATATTTTTTTCATTTAAGGTCTAGAATATAATGTACCTAACACAACTATTCATAATTGTCTGAATTTTAACTCACTACCCATTCGCAAGACTGTTTGATGTGTTTACATTTTCATTCGTCAATTTAAATTAAATTAAACTTTTGTGAATGAAAAAAAAAAAAATCAATGACAATGCAATATCGAAGCTAAGATAGGTTATGATAAGCCAATATAAGGGCAACATGCTAAAAAGTGGTTTTCTCAATACCCTGCAAGGCAGAAGTAATAGATTGCACAAATATATTGAAACACCTTCAGCTGTTCAAACACAGTGTTATAGAGAAAATATGATACGTAATTTTTCAAGAAAAATAATTAATAACAGAAGGGTTTCAACAATTCAGCTTTTATTTGATAAATATTTCAATTACGAACAAATATTTTGTATATTCCTATAGAAAGATCCAAGCGAAATCTTTTTTACTTAAACTTTCTTACTTGCAGATTAACTAGCCGAGAAATACTCTTAAATTACAGTACATTGATAATTTCTTTGGAGATTGCAAGATAAACAAGATTCCTATAGAAGAAATAGATTTTGATCAGCCATCGAACAGTGGTCGATTCCATAGGCCAAAAATAAAAAAAATTGAAGTTTGAAAGCTGCTACTGTACATATGTCTCAAAGCTATTTCTTAAAACACCAATAAAACCAACGGTAAATATATTTATGATTTATCCCATTCATATGTATATATAATAGCGAGGAAAATCAAGCAATAGAAACACGCGGACTATACAGTGAAAACAGGTTAAAATTTAACTCATATAGTAATTTCAATTGCAATATAAAATCGTTTTTAATCAACACAAATCGAAATGAATATTGAGAAGAAATGTATATTTTATATAACAATGTGTGTTATGTAATACTATGTTGTTTTATTGTTTTAAAACCAGTTTTTTACAAGTGACCTTTTAGTGGTATATTTTTCTTTATACATCGACTTATATTATAAAAAAGTCAAAATCATACAATGAGTCAAGTTTGTTTTTAATAGTTAATGCTTTATAAGTCTATGCATTTGATTTCAGCTGCCACCTTTTGTCCCTCTCTTTATTATTCATGTTATTCTACCAGGCATGCGATTTTTTGTATGTTATTTTTCTTAATTTTTATTCATAAAATACTTACGAGTATGTGTATGTATATATTTTATTATTTTTTATGTTTTCTCGTTTCATTTTCTTATTTTTATCAAATGTTTGTTTTATATGTGCTTTTATTCACGTACATCATAGCAATGTAAACTTTCACGCCCACATATAATATATATTTGAATGGTGGTGTTTAGAAAAAGTGTGCAGTAAAATCACTTATCACCGAAGCCAATTTAATAAAGCATCAGTATCTACTTATTAGCAGCTTCGTAAACAAAAAGCTTGATATTAACTTTTTACCCTGCTATGATAACATTTAAAAGAAACAAGAAAAAACGTTAACTTCAGTTGCACCGAAGCTAAATACCCTTCACAGGTGCATTTCTGTTAGTAATTATGTGTTCAGTTTGTATGGAAGCTATATGCTATGGTAATCCGATCTTTTTTTTCGGAGATTATATTATTATTTTAAGCACTAATCCATGTCAAATTTCGTGAAGATACCACTTCAAATGTGAAAGTTTTCCATACATGAACTTGATTGCGATTGTTCAGTTTGTACGGCAGCTATATGCTATAGTTAACCGATCTTAACAATTTCTTCGAAAATTCATTGTTGGCTCAGGAAATTATCTATACAATTTCGTGAATATATCTTGTCAAATGTGAAAGTTTTCCATACAAGAACTTGATTCCCATCGATCAGTTTGTATGGCAGCTATATACTATAGTTAACCGATTTGAACAATTTCTTCGGAGATTACATTGAGTTCCTAGAAAATACCCTGTGCCAACTTTTATGGAAACACATTGTGAAATGTGCAAATTTTTCAAACAAGAACTTGATTCCGATCGTTTAGTTTGTATGGCAGCTATATGTTATAGTGGTCCGATATCGGCAGTACCGACAAATGAGCAGCTTCTTGAAGAGAAAATGACGTTTGCAAAATTTCAAAACGATATCTTAAAAATGAGGGACTAGTTCGTATATATATAGACAGACGGACAGACAGGCGGACATGGCTAAATCGACTCAGCTCGACATACTGATCATTTATATATATACTTTATAGGGTCTCCGACCGTTTCTTCTGGGTGTTACAAACTTCGTGACAAACTTAATATACCATGTTCAGGGTATTAAAAAAGTTATCCTGAACAAATAAAGGTCTCAGAATCTGATGTCGCAGAGCTAAGAAAATTATTGGACCACACAGAAATTTTAAGGAAAGCGATGGAATTAATGAACGCAATGATTCCTCTAATAACCTAGTATTAACCCTTCGTTGCATTGCATTGTGTATACATATGCAATGTTAACTCCTCGTTGATCTTGCAGCTACATCATTTTTATACTCTCGCAACAAAGTTGCTAAAGAGAGTATTATAGTTTT